ATTATTTATCATAAAACTTTATATTATTATTTAATATTTTATTTGTTATTAAAATATTATTTTTTATAATTTTATTAATAAAAATATTAATATTGGTATATTTTATTGAAATAAAATATTATAAATTATATTAATTATTTATTAAAGTAATAGTGTTATATTATATTTTAAAAATATTATTTAGTATATTTTAAATATATTTATTAAAATATTATTAGATTATTATATTAATATTAAATATATAAATAATATTTTTCATTATTAATAATTTAATAATATTATTTCTATGAAATTAATAAATAATATAAAATTTATTAATAATTTATTATATATTATTAATAATTTAATAATATTATTTATTTTTATGAAGAAAACATCTTTCGGAAAACGTTTTACGTGAAACAAACGAACCCTTATAATGTAGGCATAAAATTATATACTTATAATATAAGTATAGTGTACATTATATACACAAGCATTACTATATTATCATAACATTCATCATGCGTATTATATATGTATATATATATAAATATATATATATATATATATATATATATATTAAAATTGATTTAATTTTTTCTCAACTTTTAAAATAAATTTAATTTAGTCCATTTTTATGTTAATTTTAGTTTCATATTTTACCATTATTTTGGATTTGGTTCCTATATGTTGTGTAATTTATTTAAATTTTAATTTGTAATTTCATATTTGTCCAATTTAGTCTTTATAATTATATTTGTATATGAAATCAACCCATACATATTTATATTTTTGTAGTTTAATTCAATCTAGTCATTAAAATTATATTTGTATATGAATTGGCCCATATTTATATTTGAATTTGATGCCTCATACATTCATATTGTTTAATTTATTGAAATTTTTGTATGTATTTTTTTGCTTGTTCAATTTAATCATTAAAATTATATTTTTATTAAAATTGACTCGCAATTATTTATATTTTTGTAATTTACTCCAAATCATATAAAATTAAAAACTACAATTTGTCGTTCATGAAAGACGAAAAATAATTAACCCGAAAATGACCCAACCTGAAATCAATTCGTACATGGTAAGATCCGACCTAATTTTGTCTGTCAATAATGTGACCCGATCTGAACGAGATCCGACCTGAATTCCATCTGAACCTGAATTAACCTGGAATTTAACTAATTTGGACTTGAACCGTTTTAACCTGAACTGGCATAAATCCAAATTGAAATTAAGTCGATCCGAATCCGAACTAAATTAGACGATAAAATCAATCTAAAAATGACCCGAACTGATTTAATCTGGACCCGACATGATTCGAGTCAAACAATCAAATTGACTTAACATGATTTGAATCTGATTTGACCAAATCTAACAGAACCTGACTAAAACCTGAACGATAACATGATTTTACATCCTACTATTTCTCCGCGCCTTCACATTGGACATTACGCTCTCACGTTCATAGGATTAACTAAATTTTAATTAATTACTGAAGAATTTATCAAATCAATTACTACTTGTTATGTAATTAATAAAAAATATTTTATATAGTTTTACAATAGGCTTTGTAGACTGTTGATGCTTGGTCACTAAGAAAGTCAAATCTCAAACTTTTAAAAACAATTAAAAGGGTTTTGGTTTAATCAAAAAATAAGCATAATTAATTACTACATGTTATGTAATTAGTAAAAAATATAAGGCTTTGTAGACTGTTGATGATAGGTCCAAAAAACATTATACTAAGAAAGTCAAATCTCAAACTTTTAAAAACAATTAAAAGGGTTTTTGTTTAATCAAAAAATAAGCATAATTAATTTCTGTAATTTGTTTGACAAATCTGATTTTTGCAATAATAAGAGTACAGCAAAGTCCATATGGCATATTGCCATCCCACTCGAGGGATTCCCGGAGAACCGTGCGTGGGCTTATTAATCAATATTATCATTAATTACTTCAATCTTAATCACCATTTCTTCTCATTAAACAACCGTTTTTACGTACAGGAGAACAACTCAGCTATCCCTTTAGTTTATTGGATTTTAATTGAGTGAGGTTGCTCACATGTACAACCTCAATTCCCCCACTCATTTTTTGGACCAGATGACAATAAATGTTATTAATAATTAGATGTATGATTTTGTCTACTTCGTTTCTTTTTATAAATTTTGATATATTTTATAGCAGTTATGGAATTAATATATTGAAGACCCATCATAAAGTTTATGTAAATTTAGGTGGTTGTCGTTGTAAAATAACGAGGATGAAATGAATTGTACATATAACTATTATTAGAAATATTCGTGTATTATGAGCATACATGTACATGAATTTCTGGATAGAGAAAAAATTAGTTTATGTGCCGACGTATAATATAGATGGGATATTGAAAATAATTAAGTGGAGTTATAGGACTAATTTATGCATTTTTCTTTTATAAGTCGTACTATAGTTAGAGAGACAAGTTTCTACAGTTGCTATCCATACGGACGCTTATATGAACAAGACAGCCGACGATGAACGATGCAAATCTCTTCTTTTCCTTCAACTTTAAATCTGAACCGTTCATCTTTAACACTTCTCAGCTTTTTCGACATAAAATGGACAGCTCAATGGACTCCATGCCGAGAGAGTGCAATCCCATAATACCATGTCCTTTTTACTAGGGGTGTGTAAATCCGGCTATCCGAAAATTTTGGATCGATGATTTTTCGGTTTGTATCTCGATTCGAATGTTTTGGGTATCCGATAATCGAGTACTTGGATTTTGCGGGTACTAATCGGGTACCCGATACCCGATTTTTAATTTTTTATTTTTAAATTATTAATTAAAAATATATATATACAAATTTAAATGTTCGAAACTTCAAATTACATAGTCTAATATCCGAACATAAAATTTAAAAGTTCAAAATACAAAATATAAATAATCCATAATATAAATAATTCATTATATTTTATATAATTATATATAAAAAAATAAAAAAAAATAAAAACTAACCGGATACCCGGAAAAATTAGATTTTGTGACCCGGGCCGGGTACCTGACCCGGCCGGGTAATTTTTTTAAAGAATTACCCAATTTTTTAGATTCGGGTCGACGGATCGGATCAACCGGGTCGGGTAATTTTGCACGCCCTTACTTTTTACGGTGAGATGAGGGGCATGTTGGTAATCTCGTAAAATGTATGCCCAGCCTGCGGTAACTGTGGGAACTCTTTAACCTCCTCTATTTTTTTCTTCCATTTTTACCCTTTGCAGTAAAAAAATGTTTATTACTTCCTGATTTTTTTCGGTTTAATGTATACTATATGTATTTTTTTGAAATAAACATAAAAATATTCATTAAAAAATATTTTTCACGTAACACACATTTGTTAATACATAATAAAAAAAACATATCAGTATGATATACGTGTTATTTTCTGTATTAATTCTCTTGAGATGATATTTAAGTCAAAAAGTCAGATATTTGAAAATATTTTTGTTATTGTAAAATAGATGTAACGATGATTTAGATCATTGAGGTTTTAATGAAGAATTTTAAGATATTGTATTATTAATATATCACAAAAATGATATAATTTTACCATATTTATACTATTGTCGTAATATTTAATTTATTTTACTAATTTTACAAAATGATTAAATATTTAATTTTATAAACAATGGATTGAATTTAATCAAATTAAGTGTTTAAACCATTTAGAATATCAAAATATTTAATTTTAATTTATATAAAACTAATTTGTATTTTAATATTATTTTTTAATCAATCGTGCTTAGATAAATAGGAAAAGCAGAGGTTATGTAAGAAAAATGAGGGGAAGATTCTTTAGCACTTGAATCATGAAAAAACAAAATCTAACACTTCGTCTGTGACTGTTATAAACCAACTTCAACAACATTTTCGATTCTTTTTCCACGAATGTAAAAGATCCTTTTAGTAAGAAAGATGTGTTTGATGTGGAATGCCTTTATCCCATGACAAAAGTAAAAATATAAAAATTGTTCAAGACATGGTGAAATATTTTTGTCAACGTGACATAAAAGAATGTTAATCTAAAAAATTAATAAAAACAAGTATTGAAATAAAAATTAAATTTTCAATAGATGATATTTGAATAAAAACACTTTAAATTATCATGTTAGTGTTGTAAATGAGACGAAACAGAGTATGAGTTATTTGAGAATGTTTAGGTCAAAATTCGATCAACTCTCAAATCAAATAGATTCGGCTTAAGCTTGAAATCGAATCGAATTTTTAACAAGTTAAAATGAATTATCTCATATCCGGCTAAAAAAGTCCATGGGCAACTCAAAAACCAATATATTAAATTCCAAATTAAATGGTGAATAATATTAACATTTATATATTGTTATTCTTTTAAAAAATACAATATAAAAATTTAATGTACTTATAATTCAGGTTCGAGTTCGAGTTTCAATTGAGTTAAGTCTAAAAACATTTAAAGTTCAAAATTTTTCGAGTTCTAGTCCAACTTGAAAATTTTATACTCGTAAAATTTTGAGTCAAATTTTAAATTTTTATTTCGAATTCAAATTAATAAAATTTTATGTCGAATTAAATTCAACAATATTCAAACTTAAGTCCTCTGATTTACATTAATAAGATTCGTGTTCCATGTTACCCAAAAGAAAATTTATTGACGTGTATTAACAACATTTTCCCCCACATCTCTTACATACACCCGTTTTCTGCGGCTCCGCTTCGTCGCCGACGGACAAGATCTCCCCACTGCTCATCGTCAGTCCTACGGCCCACATCTCTCTCCCACCACCTATGGCTTTCCTAATCGTCGATCAGTACCTCTCCTTGTCCCCGCAAATAATATAAAATAAAAGAGATTTGGAAAATTCGACTAATGTAACCATGGTTAGAATCTAACCCTGCTTACCAATACTCAAATTAAAAATCCTTATCCTCTCTCGTCTGTTGTGTCTGTCTTTGACTTCACTTTCTATTCCTCTCTCCATAGCTCTTCTGCTACCCTATAAGCTTCGTTAATGGCCTTTCAGATCTCAAAAAACAAAATCTAAACCTTAAGGACGTAAATCCAAGCTAAACTCAAGAGCCAAAACGAGATAAATTTCCATCTTTTCTTTCAAAACCTCAAAAGGTTTCATTTTTTTTGTTATGTGTGTTGTTTTTTCTTTTCTTTTCGGGCTTTCATTAATGCATAAGAAAATGGAGTTTCCGTTCCCAGATGAGGTGCTTGAGCACATCTTCTCGTTCATACAATCGGATAAAGACCGGAACTCGGTGTCGATGGTGTGTAAATCGTGGTACGAGATCGAAAGGTGGTGTCGGAGGAAAGTGTTTGTGGGGAATTGCTACGCCGTGAGCCCTCGGATGGTGAGCAGACGGTTCCCGGAGTTTAGATCCATTGAGCTGAAAGGGAAACCGCACTTCGCGGACTTCAATCTAGTTCCCGACGGATGGGGTGGTTACGTGTTCCCATGGATCGTCGAGATGGCCGGCGCTTTCCCTTGGCTCGAAGAGATTAAGCTTAAAAGGATGGTAGTTACCGACGAAAGTTTGGAGCTTATTGCTAAGTCGTTTAAGAAAGTCAAAGTGTTGGTTCTTTCATCTTGTGAAGGGTTTTCAACTGATGGACTTGGCGCCATTGCTGCTAGTTGCAAGTGAGTTTCAAGGCATCAGCTTTTGCTTTGCTCAGATTGTTTTTTTTCTGCTATAATTTTTTTTAAAGAATATGTGGCGTGGAAAATCTAGTGAAAAACACATGTTCTTTTTACCTCTTGGATACCTAGTTGTGTTTGATATCAGCAGATTCGTTTTTTGAGAATTGGTTTTCATATTTTGGATGGTTACTTCATGTGAAATGTGCAGCGCTTTTTGCTCTTTAATTATATTCCTTTTTCTCTTGATTTGTTGTTGTCGTAAACTATGAATATTTTTTAGGTAAACTTTTGTTGATTTGGCCATGGCGGGAATAATTTTCCACTGTTATTACTCAAGATTCTTATGTTTTCTCTTTATTATTACCTCAAATTATTGGTTCCTTTTAGTTTATTTAGAGAGCTGTAAAGATTTTATGTTAATTTAATGCAGGAATCTGGAAGAGCTGGACTTGGTAGACTGCGAAGTGGATGATTTGAGTGGGCACTGGCTCAGTCATTTCCCCGAGTCGTACACGTCCCTGGTGTCTCTCAACATTTCTTGCTTAGTGTCCGATGAAGTTAGTTTCTCGGCCTTGGAGCGCCTGGTGGGTAGATGTACCAACCTTAGGACGCTTCGGCTCAACCGTGCGGTGCCCCTGGATAAGGTTGCCGACATTTTGCGTCGTGCACCGCAGCTGGTTGAGTTTGGCACTGGTACCTACGCTGCGGAGCTAAGGCCAGACGTCTACTCGGATTTGGCTGGAGCATTTTCTAGTTGCAAGGAACTAAAGAGCTTGTCTGGATTTTGGGATGTGGTCCCGGATTACCTTCCAGCCATTTACCCTGTCTGTTCTAAATTAACATCGCTGAACTTGAGCTACGCTACAATTCAAAGTCCCGAGCTTATCAAGCTTGTAAGCCACTGTCCGAATTTGCAACGCCTATTGGTAAGCTTATTATTGCATAATTGGTTTATTTATGATATGGAAGTGTTTCTCGTTTGCATTTGAATTGCAAACTATAATACAATGGGGGGAAAAAACTTAAGCGCTACCGGGATTTGATTCCATTTAGAACTTCCGGTATTTGATTCCATTTATAACCCAAAATATTGTGAGCAATGCATTAAGTATTGTAAGGATCAACAATGTGCTGTGGTCTCCTAACATTTTCTGATAACTGAACTTGATCTTGCTTCTTTGTCTATTTTCAAAGTTTTTCGTCTGAAGTAATGGAGTTTATGTTTGCAGGTGCTTGATTACATTGAAGATAGTGGCCTTGAAGCGCTCGCATCTAGTTGCAAGGATTTGCAAGAGTTACGCGTGTTTCCATCTGATCCATATGGTGTAGAGCCAAATGTGTCCTTGACAGAGCGGGGCCTTGTTGCCGTATCTTCGGGTTGTCCTAAGCTTATGTCAGTTTTGTACTTCTGCCGCCAGATGTCTAACGAGGCATTAGTCACCATTGCCAAGAATCGTCCCAACTTCACACGTTTTCGTCTTTGTATAATTGAGCCTAGAACAGCGGATTACCTGACCCATGAGCCACTTGATGTTGGTTTTGGAGCCATTGTTCAGTACTGCAAGGAACTCCAGCGCCTTTCCCTCTCTGGTCTCCTCACAGATCGTGTGTTCGAATATATAGGGAAATATGCGAAAAAGCTCGAGATGCTATCTGTGGCTTTTGCGGGAGATAGTGATTTGGGACTCCACCACGTGCTTTCTGGGTGTGAAAGCCTCCGGAAACTGGAGATTAGGGACTGTCCCTTTGGGGACAAGGCTCTTTTGGCCAATGCTGCAAGGCTGGAGACAATGCGATCCCTTTGGATGTCTTCTTGCGCTGTGAGTTTCGGAGCATGCAAACTTTTAGGTCAGAAGATGCCAAGGTTGAATGTTGAAGTTATAGATGAGAGGGGACCTCCGGATTCAAGACCAGAAAGCTGCCCGGTTGATAAACTCTACATATATAGAACCATTGCCGGGCCAAGGTTTGACATGCCTCCTTTTGTTTGGACAATGGAAGATGATCCATCATTGCTGCTTTCTTGAGAAATCTCCCGTGAAGCAAATAATATATTCACAGCGCATTCAATCTCGAGAGTGAATGTACCAGGTACATGCCTCCTTGTGTCATTGTTCCCTGTTTTTCACAGCTTGATATAATTGCAGACCTGATTGGAGTGGGAAGATAAATATGGAGGCCGTACAAAAACTGAGGTCTTGTTTGCCATTCATTTCACTCGTCTGAGCTATCGAGTACCGAGTAACGATTAATAAAGAGATGGAAGCACAGGTGGTTGTTGATCGATCAAAGGTTTTATTTGTTCCCCAATGTTTACCATCTTATATAAACTTACATAATCTGGGATGTTTATCATGCATTTATATTACCTACTTTTTTGGGTGGAAATCATCTGTTGGACTTAAATGGTGTCATTGTTAATTTGTTATCCTTGTGGAGTAATAAAAGCTCCGAGTATTCGGCTCTCGTTGTTCCGAGTATTACCAAGGCTGTTTTCTGTCGGAACTTTACGATGCATGCTAATGTATTGTCCAAGTTCCCGTTACCGTTAGACTATTTGCGTTCAGTATTGGCATGCATCACTACAATCTTGAAAACTTTTTGAAGAAAAAAATATATGAACTTTATGATGATGAGGTAATCCAACAGTATACATTTATGATATCTAAATTGGAATTTTAGTGAGACAAAGGAAGAAGAGGAAGACGAAGGTGGTCCCTGTAGTTGATGTGTGATAACTTTCAGCTGATTAGTATTTGTTTTGTTTAGGAGAGCCTCGACTGCTGCGCCACGTGATTGATTCCGTGACATTGTTTAACGCCCACTCCTTTTTAAACCCACTCCCGACTGAAATCTGAATGCTGGAATTTTCAAATTAGCACATCAATTTTTTTTAAAAAATGGGAGATTAGACTTTAATTTGTTTTAAGTTTAAATTTGATAACTTGTAAGGGTTAAAATGCTGATTATGTATTCCTCTTAAAAATACTTATTTAAAAAAATCAAAAATCAAGATAACAATCTGGTATTAACTATTTCGGACATCATAGGCGTGGAGAAATATAGATAAGTTTAATTATAGTAGGGAGACTAAGAATGTCAAGAAAATTATGAAGACTAAATTTTAAATTTAAGAATAATCGAGGGACCAAAATCATAATATTGCCAGAGTAGGTGAAAACAAATTGTAAAACCTAAAGACGTGAGATTTGGGTGAAACTATTAGTTATGGTGAGTGGTAGGGCTGTTCATTTGGTTAATTCGGTAGCCGAACGAATTGAATTACTATTAACCGAATTAATCGAATTTTTTTCCTTTAACCGTTAATCGAACTAAACATTTTTTCAAAAATATTAACCGAACCGAATAAATTTCGGTTAATTTTCAAATTAACCAAAAAATTTTTAAAATTTTATAATTTATATAAACTTTTCTAATTTATATAAAAATTAAATATTTTTAAATTAAAAAAACAGTTTACAATTAATTTAAATAATATATAATTATAAAATATAAATTTTATATAAATTTTTTAATTAATTAATATCGATTTAGGTTTAAAAATTATTGAATCTTAAACTATTCATTGAGTTTTAAATGGTTTGGACTGAACTCATATGTTATATATAATGTATTTAATATTTAAAATTTAATTTCGGTTAATTAACCAATTTCGAATCGAATTAACCGTTAACCGAATTCTAAAAATTTTCTTAAACATTAACTGATTGAACTGATTCGATTCAATCAATTAATTCGATTAATTCAAAAAAATGAACACCCCTAATGAGTGGGAGGAGGATGAAGTCTTGAAGATGGGCATTGGGCACACTGATTTTGGAGTAATTGAGGTGGATTATTCATCATTAATTAATATTCAGCGTTACTTATGATGATGATGATTATTATTATTATTATTATTACTATTAGAACTGTTTCACGGCCTCATTATGACGTGGATTGGGAGGGTTAAATTGTTTGATGCTGACACGACAGGACATCAAATGGTTTCACTTCAGTAAAAACTGATCTTTCGGTAATAAATTATTACTATTAAAAAAAAGACAAGGTGGTGACCACTGACCATACTTTTGATGTGTAATTTTGTAACAAGTTGATGCAACGTAATGTTACGATCGGTTACACACTAGAATTTTCATCAGAGCTGACTTGCAGTTCAAGCAATCTATGATCAAGAATTAATTAGATTATTTCATTTTAGAAGAAAATAAGTAAAAGTTAATCGTTCTTAAAAAAGATAGTTAATTGCATCATATGTTTTCAAACTATGATCCTCTTTTTAAATTGATCCCTAAATTTTTAAATGTTCAAAATTTATCCCTAAAATATGACTATCATTCTAAATTAGCCTTTAAACTTTTAAATATTTTATTTTCATCCCCAAACTATATCCTTTGTTATAAATTGTTCCCCAAGCTTTTCCAACAATTCAATTTAATTCCAAACTATATGTATATACTAATCATGTTCCTTGTTAATTAAATTGTTAGGCCAAGCTATACTAATATATGATTGAAAAATAAATAAAATTTAGGATAAACTATTGTTAAAATTAATTACATATTTGGATGAATTTAGGGTTGAAATTGAAAGATTTAGAAGTTTGGGGACTAATTTAGAATGAGAATCACCATTTAAGGATGAAATTGGAATATTCAAAAGATTAAGGATCAATTTAAATTGAGAGTCATATTTTAGGAATATACGATACAATTAACTCTGAAAAAATACATTTTTTTTAAAATTATATTATTAATAATATTAACATTTATATATTATTTTTTTTTAAAAAAATACGTAATAAATTTTTTTTCATGTATTTAATGTTCAAGTTCGAACTTCAATTAATTTAAGTCTAATAATAATTTAAGTTTTTCCAAGTTCAAGTCGAGATTCAATTTTTTTATTTAGATTTCAAGTCAGACTTGACAATTTTAAGCTCACAAGTTTTCAAACCAAGTCAAATCCAATTTTAAACTTTTCAAATCGAGTTGAGCTCAATAATATTCAAACTCAATTCAACTCGTTTACAATCCTAAGAGTGATACTCTTTGAAGACAAAGGTTTATTAGTGTAGGAGGTAATAACAATGTGTCTATAGAGTACGTGTATTATCCATAGATTAAGAAAACTTGGAACAAATATTACTCTTGAGTAACATTCAAAAAATAATAATAATATGGGCCAAAATCTAATTACAAATGGAGGTAATCCCTCAGCTACTAACATCGACGGAGTATTTAGGTTAAACAAATGTTTTTATTTATTTTTTGATGTACCATTTGCATTTCATCTGTCAACTCAAGCTTCACTCCTCGTATATTTTGTTTCTATCAATGCTTTTGTACTTTAATTTAGTTGTCTTTAAGAATTATACCAACTGATCTTACATCAATAGTAGCCGAAATAAACAATGAAAACAGATACAAGAACTGAACAAAGAAGTTTGGTAAGAGGGTTTTGCATAAAAGAGTGTCGAATATGCACCACGAATCGATTACAACTTTGGGATGCATCTTAGTCATTGGCATGCATTGTAATCCGGCGGGTGTTATAAGAATTGCATTGCCCGCACTTGAGACCAAGAATGTGAAACTGGACCGTGCTTGTACTGTTGCAGTCATTGCAGAGGATCGGAACCTGCATGAATAAAACACATTCATCGACGTGCAAATACTCGATCGAACATTGTTTTTACTACAAACTCATACCATTAGATTGACAATTATGTTCGAGTATACAAGAATGATGGCAAATATATAACATAAATATGCATCACTTTCAGAGATTATAGAGTAATAGGGGCTCGTTATCATTTGAGATGATTAATGGGAAAGTAATTGCAGTGCAGTAACGAGTTTATTCTGCACACAGCCATTAACATGGGAGAGACCCTGGCACCTCAATTTTTTTTAGGTCTCTAACAGTTTAAATTTTATGCAAAACAAGCCTTTGCCCCCCAATTTTAGGTTTAAATACGTTTTAAGTCCCTACGCAATTTGGTCTCTACCACTATCCTATCTTAGTTCCGTCCCTGCACGTGGTACCATGAAAACAGCTGCATAGGAACACAACTAGAAACCATAACATAGAGAACCTTTCAATTATTAGCATCTCGTTCATTCGGAAAAAGGATAAGTGCATATGATGAGAGTTTCCTAGTCTTTTCATTTGCTAACATCCTTGAAAAAGAAACACTGCCTGCTATCCGAAACAAGAAAGTTATATATAGCAATTCATATCTGTTCCGACCAATCCTCGAGAAACAGATGGATACATTCAAGAGGCATAGAAGTCGTACAACTAGATGTAATCTTTAAATGAGACCAAAACTTGCAAAGTTTTGTATTATGTACATTCAAGTGATGCAACAATTATTGTGAAGGCTGCAGGTAAACTAAAAGCGGAAGTATATAATTTACCACCTCAAACTGATACTCTGCAGGCATTTGAGTAGCATCAATCTGTAATTAAAGAAAAAGATCACCAATTAATAACATGCGGAAATGATTGAAACAGTAACACAGTTGATCCTTAAAGTAGTACATAATAACTTCTACATCAAAATCATTTTAATATGTGCTTTAGCCTAAGATTAGACCTTGAAATCAAAACCTAAATCCAACAAACGAGCAAATGTTGCTAACAAGTAAAAATGTACAATAAAATGATCAAAAGAAGGTTTATACATCCATATCCAGATCTTCCCAAAAAGAAGTCATATCAAGTACTGCCTTGCAACAGATGGGACATCGATACCTGTAGTATGAACAAAACCAATAGATGTTAACCATTCAAAAAAAAAAGTAGAATTAAAATAACTAAGCAATGAGCAAGTAATCTGAAATTACTGATTTTGCATAGCCATCTGAGAAAAGCAGTCCATGTGTATTGTATGTCCACATTTCATAATGCGTATGCTTTTAACTGAGTCAAAAAGATACTGGACGTATAGAAAAAAAGCCTTAGAACAACAAATTCTCATGAAATTCGAGCAAACTGAAGAAATAGTCAAACTCTTGAAGCACAAACCTCATAACAGATGGGGCAGTGAGTCTTCATGGAATTCTCCACACAATAGTGATTGTCACGCAGATCCACCATGTAGCAAGAACCTGTGCCAACGATAACATCATAAAGTAAAATGCAATATAGGAAAAAGAAAAGTCGACATGATGGTATACAGAAACTGCCTTTAAAACTAAAAATTATAGAAAAACCACTTTTAACTTGTAATTCAACTATCCTTTTTATGTTTTTTTTCTTTTCTTTTCTGGTTTAACAAGAGTAGCATTCTGTGCACCATAACAAGTTCAATTCGAAACTCGACATGATTGTGTACAGAAACTGTCTTTAAAACTAAATCAGGCGAGAAGCAAGAATGGAAATAAAACTGCGTACCGCATTTCTCGCAGTGAAAGAACTTGTCACGACCACCAACCCTATAAACCACAGCACAGATTAGATCGGAACAGTAATTGTCAAAGGCATAAGACGGAGACAAGCCACAAAAGCAACTGGTAAAACTTAGTAAATTGGACACAACATGCTAACTAACCTACAAATTCCACAATCGTTACAATGGAACTGTCCCTTTGAAGTCTGCAAGAACCATAACATAAACTCAGCATGATTTTAAGTGGAATGAAATTAAAAAAAAAATACAATGATCTTACATCATCATCATAGAATTTGCATATATTGCAGAAATACTCTCCCATAGTCACCCCACAATGGGTACAAACTTGAGCAACCTGGAAAATTAAAAAGATGGAATTCAGAGTTGAGATGTTTACAGTAACTGCTAGAGAATTAGATGCAACAAGACATACCTCCTGTTGGGTATTGCAAATTGAACAAATAACCTGACACAAATCAAATTTCACCTCATTATAAAAGATGTTTTCCCCCTTTACAAGAGCCAAAAAAAAAGGGGTGCTATTTTACTGTTACATAAGAGGTGATTGTCAAATAAAACATACTTGCTTGACATCCTGCCTGACAAGGTCGTGATGATCTTTTGGGTTGCTAAGTGAGTTCTAAATTAAACAAACAAAACAATAAATCATTAAACATTAAGCAAAAAAAATAAAAAATTTAAATAATCAAGACAGGCAATCAAATATATTAACAGAAGCAAGAGATTTATGAAAAAGAAAAGAGAGAGAGAGAGAGTGTGTACAGAGGTTTCGTTATGGCAATGGCGGCAAGGGAAAATCTTATTACAGCAAGGAGCAAGGATTTTACACCGTCTATTATAGTGATCGCATCTAAACAAAGACAAAGAGCATTTAACAAAATTGAAAGGGAAAAAAAAAGAGAAAGGAGAAGATACCCATGTTCGAGTTTCCCGAAATCTTTGCTTCTCTGAGGCGCAATTACAGAGTCAGCTGACATTGGTTACAATAGGAGCACAAAGACGGAACAGAATCGAATTTTCTCTCTTTTATCTTTCTGTTTCCAGAAATTAAGGAAAAAAATAGAATAACAAAGCTAAGTTAGCTAACCCGTGTCGTGTGTATAAAAATTAGGTAATTTGGGGCATCATAAAATAAGTTAGATATAAATTATTATATTTATTTTCTTTTAAATTTAATTTTTTATTTGACATTTAAGTTTTTTTTATTAAATTAAATATATGAATTGATTTTTTGGTTTAAATTGACACATAATTTTTATTTTTTATCTAAATTAATTAAAAAGTATTAGTATTGATTCAAATTAAAAGTTAAATTTAAATATTTTATTAAATAAAAGAAAACTAAATACTAAGTTATAACTTTAAAATCAAGTTTAAGTATTAATTTTTTGTGTGGTTTTGATGGCATGGGAGTGGCCATCAGGACCATTGGAATTTGCTTTACCTTACGCTGTGTTTTATTCGTCTGGATGGCATGGTTATGGCCATAAAGGCCGATTAAAGTCGGGATGTCTCAGTTGTAGCAGTCTTAATATACGAATAGGAAAGGTTCTACTGGAAATACTATTATTATTTTTAATATTTTTGATAAAATGCTAACTAAAATATTATTTTTCTACCAGAAATGTTAATATTGGACGCTACCTAAAATATTTTTTTACTACCGAAAATGTTAATATTGTGTACTACCTAACATGTTATTTTTCTACCGATTTTTAAATAGTAAAATGAATATTTCTAATAAAAAAATAATATTTTAGATAACACTTTACTGAAAATATTAAAAAAATAATAATATTTCAGATAGTTATTTTTCTTAATCGTATATTAATATGCTGTAATGCAGAACTACCGATTAAAGTCACTTTAACTTGAACCCCACAATTTTATTTGTTTTAATCCTTCACCTTAACAGCCAAAGTCTTCCATCTATTACCGGCCGTAACAAGTTACAACACTGACCATTGTTGTGGTCTTCTCGCTCATTGTCCACGTCCGCCACTGTATTCATATATTATAAATATATCAATAAATTATTACTTGTTTGACAATTTTTTTAACAAATTGTATTTAAAAGGTAATTTTAATAATTTAAAATTATATGAATTTATTGCAGATTAACCTATTTAATTAATTAATGGATTAACTATTCAATAATTTATATTCTGAACAAAGTAAATTAGACTTTGTATCAAAAGTTTGTTTTAATAAGATTTTTTAACAAAATTTTAATTTTTACTACCCGTAGAGTTAATACAAAAGGTAACAATTTTAGACAAATATTTTAAAGGGTTTCAAAAAAAATGTAAATACTTTAGTAGGATTAAAAATTTGTAATAAAATATTTTATAAGAATACTTTTTTTAAAATATTAATAAATATAAAAAGGCATAATTAAATATTTAAAAAGAGAGTTTGATCATTCACTTTTGGATATGATATTTTGTAGATTGCTCAAAAGATTGACAAACAGTTGAAAAGATAGCTCCCACAGAAGATGTTGAAGAATTCAATAAAGATTGGCGAGTTTGACTGGTAAAATGATGCCATGCTTTGTGATTCAAAAACAGATGACAAGGCAAGACCTCCCACTAGTTTTCTGCTTTTATTTTCTGTCTTTGACGCAGTCTTCATATGCTTGTCTCCATATACAATGGAGGAATCTGCTGATCTGAGCACATTATTTACAGCATATTTGTCTTCTCCATAAATAGAATAATGGAAATAGTAAAACCATTTATGGCCGTGAAAATGATGAAGTTGGGTAAACTATACAGATGGTCACTAATGTTTAAGTAGGTTTTCGTTTTCCCATTCAAGTTTCAAGAGTAACAAATTGGTAACTAACGTTTTCAATTTGTAACAAGTTAGTCACTACTTAGAAAACAAAATTGTAAACATTTTTTCCAGCACACGTGATCAAGGAGGACAAGACCAGAAGCTGTACACATTAAGAAAACAAAATTGGTGAAATTAAAAGTGCAGATCACGTTGGTTTGAGGGACTGTATATGTGTCAGAGGATTGTAACTTATAACCAGAGTTGAACTAGAAAGAAGAAGACTTCAAAGCCAATGGAAAGTTCCTCTTGTTTTAGCAGTAATGTTGTGTTTCCATCCTTGATCCGTTCGACATTCACCATCGACTTGAGTTTAGTCAGTGGCTTCAAAGTCAATAGAAAGTTCCTCTTGTTTTAGCAGTAATGTTGTGTTTCCATCCAAGCTGAAGCAAGCACTCTTCCATTGAGCAATGTGACTGAGGTTATCACCCTCTTTAAGGTTAGCGGCGGCAGTGGAACGAAGTGACTGGTTTTAGGGTTGTGAGTGACGGTCAAAAGTTTTAGGGGTTCAAACCCGGTATGTATGGCTGTCTTATGTGGTAAAATGATGCTAGGTCGCCAGTTTAACGTGTCATATCAGCATTCTGTCATCCCAGCAACGATGGTTAATGGAGAGTGACCGATTTGTTATAAATCGAAAATCTTTAGTTACCAATTTGTTACTTTTGAAACTTGAACGGGGAAATCGAAAACTCACTCAAACTTTAGTGACCATTTGTATAGTTTACCCTGATAAAGTTCAGTGACTATCAATTATATCTATTCCATATATCATGCAAAGGGGGCTGGGGACCCGGAATGGACTGATGAGAGTTGATCGGTGCAATAGTCTAAATTCTCTTATGTTATTTTAAGTATTTTTTATATTTTCTATTGATAGTTTATTCTCATCCCCTAAAATTTTATAAGTTTGTCCCGATATAAAATCATGCTTTTGCCGTGTCTGATGAATTTCCAGCTGCTGAAGAGATGAGCAGCTGTAGTTTTCAGGGACTTTGCAAGTTTGTCTCAGAAGCAAGCACTACACTGATATTTACCAAAGATTACATATCTACCGTTGCAGAAGAAAAGGAATAAAAGGAAAGGAATGCAATACCTTCCTTTTTCTAGGATAAAGTAGGAGAACCAATGGTAGCAAAACATATGATTATTATTTTAAAATTCAGTGATTTCGATGATTAAAAAAGCATCTTGTTCTTGTTGAAAATAGAATATAATCTCACTCGAAAAGGAAAATCCTTTAAGAACTCGAGAAGAAAAAAAGGTTTACATTATTAAATGAATAATTAAAGTATACTCTTTTTAAACAATTACTATATAAAGGGAGGAGGAATGTAGATTTTGCTCATCATGGATATTGAACCTATAATTTAGGGAAGATGAGAAGTAACAACAGAAAGCTTTTAATCACTTGTATTAGATATTGTTCAATAAATATTCTAATATTTAGATAGAAAAGATGAACACTTTAAATAGGCTTTGACCAAAATAAATATTTTAAATAATTAAATAAAATATTTATATTTTAGATATTTATTTATAAATTAAGACTGCATTAAATGGAACTCGAGAATAAACTTCGAATTAACAAGTTATCATTGACATTATATATGTAATTTCCTTTTTAAAATCGTTTATTTATTATTTTTGCATGTGGGGGGAACGCGATAGAATTTCCAAAGTTGAGGGACTTTTTAATTCATGTTGCTTTCTAGACAGTTGTGCATGATGAAGAGGTTGGTCATGGGGAATTTTATGAAGAAGATGCTTCAAATTTAAAGAAACTGATCACTTTATTACCAGCTTCGACATTTTGAGGTCTTTATTTATTTAAAAGATGCGTGTTTTATTTAAGATTTAATATTTTAAGGTCGAAAAAGTACACAAAGTAAACTTCATTAAGAAACAGAAACAGATTACATTGAAATGAAGTAAAGCTATTGAAGATCACACGTAAGAGATTAACACAGAGAGAAAGCTACACAATACGTACAGCTCACTAGTTTAACTACTGGTTTTGAGCCAATTTATTTCTTTCAATGTGATAATTTGAAGTAGCATATTAATTTTAATTTCAGTTCAACACAACGTCTGATACGGTTTCACCAAAGGGATCAGTCCTCCACCCAGGTGGAGGGACATGACTTCATTGGTTGATCCCACCAGCTTTCCCTCGATGAACACTGCCGGAACCGGCGTGTTGCACCCCAACCTCATGAGGGCTCTCTCCATTTCCCGGCCTTCGGGGTCTTGGTCGATCTCATGAATGGTTGGGGTCACCCCTAGCTCTTGGAACAGAATCTTGACTGCATAACACAAGCAACATGAGCTCTTGCTGAACAGAACCACTCCCCTCTCCGAGGCCAATCTCATCACCTTGTCCATGTCGAATCCTGATGTGATGTCGATACCGCGGGACGAATAAAATGTTTAAGCTCGGAGAGATGTCCCGGTGTTCAATGCATTCGATCCAAAGCTGGTGGGAGGTTGGAAAGAGAGGAAAGGGTCCAAAGCTTTGTTGGACCTGGAAGTTAAGCTCCCCATGGTAAGAGTATTTATAGGCAACAGTTGAACAATAACATTCAAAAGAAACTCTGCTTTAACTAGATGCTTGAAACCAATAAAGTCACTTTATAAGATGGAGCCTACTGTTTTTCCATATGTCATGGGCTGAACAAGTTGGCAAAGAGATTTTCTGCTAAATATTACTCTAAATCATAATAAAAAGTGATTAAACTACGTGCTTGGCCTCTAACCATGTATTTCATATAGTAATTCCTCTGGAGATGTAACAAAAGTAGAAAATATTCTGAGGCAAGCTAGTCAATGTAGACCGGATTCTCACAATCGACTCCTTTGCATCCTATCTGAAGAAAAGATTGCGAATGAGATCGCGAACGTGATGGAACTCGGTGGAGACAACTTCTTTGTATTGCGTCCACCAATTTGTATGATTCTTCTTCCCACATGTGAGGACACACTATAGGCTGACTTCACTTAATGTATAGGGGCTGCTGCTCTTTCAATGGCGAAGGATCGCACGTGTATCGACAACTACTTGTCCTTCATCGCGGTGGGACAGGACAGGATTCTCCATTTTCTAGCTATAAAGAAAGTATACATTGCAGAAGAGAATCCATGAGGCAGTCACAGTAAAAAGGTAAAAAAAGAAAGTATACATTGCAGAAGAGAATCCATGAGGCAGTCACAGTAAAAAGGTAAAAAAAGAAAGTATACATTGCAGAAGAGAATCCAAGATGTAGTCAGAGCAAAAAGGTAAAAAGAAAAAGCATGTCTGAGCCCGGGTTCGAACCGGGGACCTCTAGTGTGTGAGACTAGCGTGATAACCAACTACACCACCCAGACAACTGATGTTTCAGATTTGTTCATTTAATTCTGGTCACTATAATGACACAAGCATTATATGTCAACATCAAAATTTATTTAACATATTCCAAATTTTATAATAATATAAAATATTTAAAAGATAATTTTATTAAAAAAATATAATATAAAATGTGTTTTAATTAATTAACTAATAGAATGACACCAACTCAACAATTAAACTAAAAGTAAAAATAAATAAATAAAATTATTAAAATTAAAATATTAAGAATAATTATACACAAAGTTTTCAAGATTAAAATCTAATTTTTAATATTAACCCTACAAAAAATATATCTTCGGTGACATTAAAAATATCAAATTTAATCATCAAAATTTATAGTAGTTATATTTTTTGGTTCATTACAAATAACTGTCACTATTAAATAATGACAACTTTTAGTAATTTCATATAATTATTTATATTTTTTATGAATACATTTTTTTACCCAGAAAACTAGTAACGATGACTAAAATTTAGAGAATATATTATCACTATTATTAGTGACAAATATACTATACAATGGTTACACTCTTTTCTATTTGCATGGAAATGGTTACAGTGATGGTTGCAGACAGGCCGGCGGTGACCTTTAACATGAGCTCTTGTTGCATGAGCCATACCATCAAGACTCTCATAAGTTGGTTCAGGGCAAACCCGACTGTTTACGAGATAGACGGGATTCAGAACGGCCAACGAGTCGAGACGGAACCGAATAAGATGGGGTGGAAGCCCAGTGTTCCGGTTGCATTCATGGGGCACATGTAATTAATTTCACGCTACACATAATTACCATACACTTTCAGTTAATCACTACCGAGTGGCTGCTTCGCCTTTGAAAAAGAATCGGGATTTTGAATTTGCTTTACCCCCTAATGGCTTAAGATTGTTGATCCTGAATAAGGAGTTGAGCTTGCTTAATTTCTTGGTGAATGATTTGAATATCTTGTTTGCAGGATGGGACCTGACCAACTCTTGTTTCATGGACACATGATCTTTCTCTAGGTCGGTTAGCCTCATTCTCATCCGTGTAACTTCGAGTTTCAGATCTCGGTTCTCTCTTCTTACCGATGCGTAGTTGTCTCTGGGCGAGATGGCTCCACTACCTGCACCGCTGCCGGATCGTTGAGGGAATTGACCGTTGATTGCACCGAAAAAGAACTGATTGTGGCGTCCGCTCATCGCGTTACGAAGCCTGATTTGTTCGAAATATAACACCTGGACAGCCATTTGTACAGGTAACCTTTCATTTTGCGCCGCATGGCTACATGCTTCTTGAGATAGTTTTTGACAGTCTATCGTTTTGCACAGCCTGTAACGTTCGGAATCCTTCATGTTCGGGTGAACCTGTAAAAGCAGAACATGATACTAAGAGCCTGCAAGAGAAATTATGAAATACCTAATGGTACTTAGCCATGCAACTACTCGGTTCATTCGTGTGAGATCCTTACTTTGAGGAAGATATCAACAGCTCTATATAATCCATCGCTAATGATTCGAGCATGGTCCGGAAGTAGTTCTGCTAATGCTATGAATTTTGATGGAAACAAGTTTGTATCTAATGCAACTTCAGCAAGGTAAGAGTCCAGTAACTTGGAAACTTTAAGGATTGAACTTTGTTTCGGAGATCCCAGGCCATCGAAATCGTATGCCATTTCACTTTCATCTCTTAAAGGATTCTCTTCATCATCATCTTCATCACTCAAGTTCAAAAAGATGGAGAAAATCCTCAGGACTGACTCTGTATCATACATGGATGTGTGATTGTTTCCATGTGAATTGACTGGTATTAGTATATCTTCAAGAATCGCCTGGTCTAGTTGCAGACCGGTCCGCCTCTCTAAATCTGATCTGCACGAAGTGGATACCGACGAGGCTACTGCGGTTTTCAGTAGACTCGAGAGATATGCCATCGGAACCGGACTCTTCCTAGATTGAGTTGGCAGTAAGCTAACTATGGCTTCGACAATTAGCCTTTGTTTCTTTTGCAACTCCAATTCCAACAGGCTTCCTTTTACCAAGTGATGGTCCTTGACAACCAGACTTTGAAAAGAATTATGAGTGTAATTTATCAAAATTTTGCAGATCATGTCCTGTCTTAGACCTTTCGATTTAATGGCCAATAGAACTCGTTGGAAGAAGTCGAGATTAAGAACAGCGAGAGACTTTCCCCACCAATCGGATGGCGTTTCCGGTTCCATGTTCGACATAGCTTTTGATGGAAAGTTGTGATCAAGTTTCAATAAGCCAGAAGTGAGCTGCTCTTTACATGCATTATTTGCGATTGCGTCAATAAGACGGTTAACCAGGTTGATCTCTTCCGATATAGGCAAGAGGCTTTCACAACGGTGAAGAACGACTATGGTGCTCGATATGTTCGGTAGTACAACGTCCTTTAAATAAGCTTCTGTAGGACCTTCAAGGTTCTTCTCAGCAACATCTTCTCCCATTTCCAGGAAATGTGATACACATCTTAACGCTGCAATGTTCGATAATGTAATCTCAACATTTATTCCATAGCAGAACTTCGCCGCTAGCTCGAATGCCTCTGGTCCACCGGGAACAGAAGAGAGATTTATCCGTGTAATCTTCGCATCCTTTGCGTCAACCAACAGCTTCCTGATCCTTCCGCTTCGTGAAACTAGAGGAGACTGAAAAACCAAAAATTGCAATCATGAACGAAAGAATTCGGTATTGATCGGTTCAAGGGAAGCATAGATGTAATACACATGTGTTACCTTGTGAAGTGCAAAGCTTGATGCTCCAATGTCAATCTTAAGATCACTGGAAACATCAGAAATAGGCCTGCAAAAGATAGATAACCGAATTAAACGATGCTGCATAAACGCTAAAAGAAAACTAGGAAAATCAGAAGAAAAAAACATAGATGAATGCAGCTTTACATGTTTGTTAGTGCCATTAATTTAGATATCATATTGCTAGTTTTTCCCATTGTCCTACATTCCAATTCTTGAAACCATAAATTCCTCTCCACCGGTTCAGTCAACAGTTATGTTTTCGTTGAGAACATGTTTAAGATTTGGACAAAGTTTGTCTTGATACCTTGGTTCGACAATGGAGGCCCCATGTTGGAAAACTGACAACTCAATAATTTATAACATGAATGGTGTTTGCTCAAACAGCAAGAGTAAGGCAATAGAAGCTGAACCAGAGTGATGTCTTGAATTGCTGTTTTTGTTTTTGTTTTGCATTAATCAGTGAGAAACAAGAAGGTTTGCCAGGCTAAAAAATTAACTGCATTGTACGACTTTCTCGTACATGTTTTTGTCATTGTTGATTGAAACGGAACGACATATAAGGTCGAGATCGCAGTTCTGAAAGGGGTTAATCCGTCGCATTCAAGACCGTCTCGATGGCTTATCAGCAAGTGGTGCTGTCTATTAGAGGGCCCTTAGATGAGGCAGATAACCGACTGGAAGCCTCTATGAACATATTCAAACTTTAAAAAGAAACCAACCAAAGAAGGCTGCACTGCAGTGTAGTTATGATCACCTAGGAAACACTACACAAGCAATAAATCTGTAGTTGGTTTTGTCAGAACGAAGAATGGAGATGGAAAATATCGTTTTCCGAATTAAATTCGAGATGTATGAGTGAAAATAGACTACAATATATGTGAGTGAAAGTAACCTTATAGCTACACTGCAACAAAGCTAGCTTTCTTTTCCATGGAAACAAACAGAAAAAAAAAAGTGAGAACGTTATACCATACCATTCAGTGGCATGCCTTGTACTCGAATTCGGACGAAAAGATCTCTTCCCAGATATTCCTGTTTTCAGTTCAGCAACAGTAACAACACCCATACTCTAAAAAAACAGTCAAATTCAGATTCCAGCCCCAGTGGTGCCTTTGAAAGATCAAATATCTGTTATTTTTTCAGTTCAATAGTTGCATTTCATGGTTTTTTCTGCAGCAGACAACTCGTTCTCTTAATGATGTTTATGTTGTGGAAAGGGAAAAAGGGTGGAGTGAGGTAAAAGTAACATGAACTCATGCAAAATTAAAGGGTATAGTGATGCTATTTGCAATATACTTTTGAATTGGATTAAAGTGTTATAATTGGTACCACTCTCTTCTATGTCCGTAGTACATTACTCAAGAACTTGCTTTAAACTTTGCAGAGAATGTACATATATATAATATAGCCTATTTTCAGACCTATAAAACTAGATGCCTAGGCCTTCAATAATGGACATTTCTCTGCCACAATCACTAGATAGGTTTCCTGAATTTCTCCAAAATTTTATGCCATTCATTCCTTCTGCCTCTACACGGAATCTCTCACGTGCGGCAGTCTAATTTACGACTAAGAGAATGCGTTACTGGAAATGTTATTATTTTTTAATATTATTGGTAAAAAATTACCTAAAACATTATTATTTCTACCGGAAATGTTATTATTAGACGTTTTACTGGGTTTGTTAACATATATGGTAAAACGCTACCTAAAACATTATTTTTTCTAATGAAAATATTAATATTGGACATTTTACTAGAAATGTTAGAAAACATTAATGTTTTAGGTAATTTTTTTTACCGGAAATGTTAAAAAAATAATAACATTTACGGTAACTCATTTCCTTAACCGTATATTAACACTGCCGCACCGCAGAACTTCCCGCCTCTACACAAACTTTATTGCAAACATTTGTAGTTTTTTGGAGTGTTGAGTTAGGACAAGCATCTCTTTGTTGATCTTAAAAAGAGAGGGTGCCACTGTTTATAGGATTAAATATGACAATTTTAAAACCTCATTAGAAAATAAATAAGGAAATAAAATAATAATATAATCTTAAAATTCGATCAAAATTCCATATCGTCAACCACTAGCTACCATTATTGTCGGTCATCACCGTCGATGGTAATGAGACCTCAAAATTTTCAATTTAGATGACCAAAAAAGGGTGAATTAAAATGTTAGGGGTCTAAATGTCACTCATCATATTAGTGGGCAAAAATAGTGATAAACGATGACCGATGACATAAGACTTTGATCAAATTCTAGAATTAAATTAATATTTTATTTAAAGTTCATGTTTCAGGGTTAAATTGATATTTTATCTAAAAATTTGGATTAAATTAACATTTTATCAAAAACTTAAAGGTCAAATTAGAAATAAACTATTTTTTAATATGTCATATCATCGAAGTAACGAGAGTTAATGACTTAATGATTAAAATATAATAAATTGGCAATAAAAGTGATCGAAATATTTTTTTTAAAATCAATGATCAAAGCTAGATATAACTAAAACAAAGGTGACCAAACTTGTATTGTACCCTAAAAATTATAGGGTATTTTGAGTATTGTATATGTGTGTGTACTCGATAGGTGGTAGAGTGTTGGATTAATTATGACCTAAGATTCCATATGATCAAGTGGTAATAATGATCCCATCAAGTCACGCCTTTATGTGTATGGACAATTAATAGCAAGTGGTTAGCATTAATCAGCCACAATGCTGGTTGATCATATGCTAAAATGATTTCATCTTTTTTTTTTCTTTTTCTCTCTCTCTTGACTTTTTTTAATAGTTTAAAGTGATTAAAATATAATATATGTTTAAATTTTTTTGGATTAATTAATAATATATACATATCCAACGGTCATTGTTACTCGAATTCAAAACCTCTAAAGAGAATAATATTTTATTTTATCACTTATTCTCTCGAGAATTTAGGAGTGAGGGGCAAAAGGTTTAAAATATGATTTTGCTTTTTACTTTTAAGTATTTCTTTTGGAAAACAAATCATTAGAGTAGCACCTGAAATTAATCATGAGACATGCTTAAAAAAAGTAGCATAATGCATGAAATATTGGTGTAGCCACTCAAAGTGTTCCCCTTTATCACTTGCTAAACTTTTGGCTTTACATAAACAAAATTGTGTGTAAAAATCCAAGGGTCCCAAAACTGACCATAGTTAATAAAATTTTAAATAAATATTATTTTTATAATTATCTCAGATTATTTAAAAATTTGAAAGATGTTAACATCTTAAGGTATATCTCGGACATTGGAACAACATGTTATCTTTGATTTTGGACAAATAATAACCCAAATTGAGGTTGCAAACCAGACATTAGGGTATATGAAGTTAATGCCAAAAAGGCACTTTCTTTTTTCTACTTTCAAATAAAGGTGAATAGAAGAATGGTTTTTGAATGATTAGTGTAGGTGAGTAATGTGCTGGTGCATCCTTTTTTTTTTAATTGTAATTAAGGAGATAACATATTTAAGGGAAATATATTTTATATTAGGAGATGTATTTTTAAATTAATGCATGTCAGTATCTTTATGTATATTTATTTATTATGAATTTGATTAGAAGCTGTACGTGATAATCTTTATGAATCTCATTATTATACCATACATATGTGACTTTGGAAAAACATCATCAAAATTTCATAAATTCTTCTTATAGTTTATTTTATTATTCTTGGGCTTTATATTGTAATACTTTTTAAAAATCCTTTTTTAAGGAAAAAGCACTTTTAATTTTTAAAGTATAAAATTATTTAAAATATGCAATTTTTTCAGGCCAAAAATAGAGTTTGATCTATGGATAAGATTAACTTTTTTTTTGTCTTTAATTTTGTTTAATCGACGATATACTGGTTTAGATGTTGGTTGTCGACTGTCGGTTATCTTCTCTCTTTGTTTTTTTATAAATTTTTTAATAAGAATAATTCTATTTTTGCGGTACGTTTTTCTCTGACTTTATAGCACATTTTACTATATATATTTGTGACATGCTTTTTGTCTTCTTTCGTAGTATTTTGACCCTTTTTTATTTTATGTTTTCTCAGGATTGTATTTGACGACGTCACAACTGAACAAGATGGTGTTTATTTGTACTTCTATTGATCTTCCTTGCTATGGATTCTCGGATTGAATTCGTACATACGATCTTGCTTTCGTGGAAAGTTTCTCACGGCGCTCGGCTCTGATTTACGGTTTTCGGTAGTCTTTCAATAGCTTAATCTTCCTTTGTGGTTCATTTGTTGATACAATTAGATTTGTTCGTATATATTTTTGTTCGAATCTTTTGATTGAAATTTTAACATTTTCTATATTTTGTATTTATATGATGTAAAGTGAATAGTTTCAGTATTACAGAAAATTATTTAAATTATATATTTAGTTTGTGATGATAGCTGTAAAATTTTATTATAATTTTAAATATTGTTATTTTTAATAAAATTAGCGACTTTATTAAAAAATAGGAAAAAAACTCATGTTGTATTAGGAAACATAACTGCGGTGATCGGAGTGACTTGGGAAGAATCATCGAACTTGAGAGAGTGAGACAGTTACAAATATCTATTTAGTAAAGTAAAGATGAAGTCAACACATTCTAAATAGAATTGAATTAATTGACCCATAGCTATTTACACAATATCTGGCCACGTATATAGCCCATTACAATCATAGTCCAACTGATTAACAAACTTAACCGACTAACTAATCATACAACCCTTAGTCTACAACTCTATTATTTTTCTGGTTCGATTCTTCCGGTCATTATGCCTTCTTTCTCACATGTTGAAAAATATTTGTTTAGAATCTAAAATTTTTAGTTAGTTTTTTTTTTTAAAATAATTTGAATAAAATATTATTCATTTATTATCGGTTTTATCATTAATTCCTTTATATTTTTAACAAAAAATATTTAAAATAAATATATTATTTATTTAAAATACTTTTTTAATAAAAAAAATAACCACTAAACACTGACATTTTAAATAAAAAATCCAAAAGTATTTTTAACATTAATTTTTCAAAAAATATTTTTCAATGATTTTTTTTAAAAGAGTGCCAAATTTACTCTTATTATTATTTATTTTAATTTTACAAAGAGAAAAATAATATTCCTATATATATTCTATTATTTATTGTTTAGAAAATTGGTCCGATGACTGAAAATACACATTTAGCATTAAGTAATAAAAACAATGAAATTATAGTGAGTTTATTAAATTTACTGAGACCTATACAATTCATGATTAAAATCAATTCAAACTATTATTTATCAATTAAAATATAATTATAAATATATATTTAATGCGGATCAACCTGACCCAAAGGCTTTAGGCTTCGGTCCAAAGTCAGCTGAGCACGGACTTTAACTGAACATTTATCGGGTTCCTATTGGGCCGATTGGCCTCCGTTAGCACCGGCTTAAGGGTGTATACGTAGCTTTTAGCTTCAAAGCTCGGCCCATAAATATTGCTGACGTTGGAAACGGTTTTCAACGCCTCGACCGATATCGGTCCAACCGACGAAGAAGCTCAAAGAGGCTTTCATCGATTTGCGTTATTCAATGAATCTCATCCAACTGGAACCAGACCAGACATTCTGCCTCAACTTCCCCATTTCTCAATATATAATAACTAATTTCCATAATTGAATCGAGTTTCAAGTTTTGGCGGCTGGGTTTTCAGGATGGTGGGGAGGAGGAGGAAGCCTCTTGTGCTCTCTTCCACCAAAGTTATCGTCAACTCGGTGCTGAGTTCTACGCGACCCAATGAAGCCGATCCAACTAATTTTTCTGGTGATGGTTTGCGTTTGAAGGCGGGGGTTCTAAGGGTTTCGAAGGACAAATTTGATGTTTCAGATCCCAAATTAGCTTCACTTGACGATTCTGCTTTGATAGGGCTCTCTACTTCTACATTGAAGAGACTATCCGTAACTTCTGGCTCGCTGGTGAGTTTGAATTTCTATTTTTTTTAGCTTAAAGGAAGTGTGCCTTTGTTGCTTTGACTTACTTGAATTACTTCTCTTGCTGGGTTTGTGTTCTAGGAAAACTTGTAAAGTGAATTTTTATTTTGCGTTTGAGATTTCTCTTGTTTCAGAGTCAAATTCTGAATCTTAAACTCGACTGTTCGTGGAAAATGGAGTTTATATACAGTAATTGCAATGTAATAATGATGATAATCATTGCAAAGAAAGAAGCAATATTATTTGTAATGTTATAACGATTGACCTCAACTCTTCTACCCCACCCTTTTGCATTTCTTTTAGGTACTTGTTAGAAACTTGGACGCAAAGATACAAAGAATTGCTCAGAGTGTTGTTTTAGATCCTCCAAATGCCCATGTCGACATGTCTCCACAAAAAGAACCGATTTCCGATCCTCCGCGGATAATGCTTGTATTTCCATCATACAGTTATCCTCCCAATGACTCTGTATTATTGGACCGAGATGTTGCCTATGTGTCTCCCCTGTTAGCTTTTAACCTTAACCTGCACATATCATGTTTGAGATCCCTTGTCTATAAAGGAAAAGAGACTTTAGCATCCCTCTTTGAAGGTAATGTGGATGATAAGGCTTGCAGGGGAGATACTGATGCTTCTGTTATCAGATTATGGTTGGAACCTTTGGGTCGACTGCCCAAATATGCTTCACATTTAAGGGTTTCCTTTGTTAAGATACCGGAATGCAGTTCCCTCGAACCGCTGAGAGGAACTTCTTCTATTGAAGCCAAATATCGCCAGGAGCTGATTGATTCAGCATTACACAAGTATTTTGAAGTGGATAGATATTTAACAAGGGGAGATGTTTTCAGCATTTTCTTAAATTGGAATTGCAATTCAGCCATTTGCATTCCTTGCTGCTCAAGGTTGCAAAATCAGAATGATAATACCATCTATTTCAAGGTAATAGTTTGTGCATATATTAGTCCCTTCCAGTGGCACAATATATGTAGGTAGTGTAACAATGTGCCAGGCTGTCATTAGATGGTAATTCTTGTCTTCAGGTTGTTGCTGTGGAGCCATCAGATGAAACCATTCTTCGAGTCAATCACACTCAGACTGCTCTAGTTCTTGGAGGGAGTGTTCCGTCTGCTGTTCCCCCTGATTTGTTAATTTCAGGGGCAAAAAATTTTGCCCCTTTGCAAGAGGACACTGTGAAGATTTTAGCATCCATTCTTACGCCACCTCTATGTCGATTACCACTTTCTTTGAAGTTTAGAGTTTCTGTTCTACTACATGGTCTACCAGGTGCGCTGGATGCTATTATGATCTCTTGCTGCTTCTATAGTGCGCTACTTCCTTAGTTGATAGATATAATTTAATGGAAAAACAAAATCTTTGATTGACTCAAGTTTGTGGTTCTTCTGTTCGGCACTGGAAACTTATGCTTGCCAAACTTGTTACTACTTTTCATTATGCAATGCCTAGGAAAAGTAATAAATTGTTATGCAGCTTGGTCACAGAGAGGACGACTCATTTTAGTATATGTATGCTTGTTTACATGTAGTTTAGCTGTGTCCTGATCAAGTATTTATTGCAGGGTGTGGGAAGAGGACTGTCGTTAGATATGTTTCTAAGAGACTGGGTCTACATGTAGTTGAATATAGTTGCCACGACCTGACAGCATCTTCTGAGAAGAGGACCTCTGCTGCTTTGACTGAAGCTTTCAACAATTCACAAAGGTGAAGCATCTGACTTACTGAATTCATCCTCAATGGCCAATACTTTTTCTGATTTTATTAACCTAGTTGATTTTTATTTATTTATTTTATTTTTTGAAAGTCCAGTTTTTGCTCCTTTCGATAGAGATTGAAGGCTAGAGTGTCTAATATTGAATCTATATATGTATGTGTTTGTGTCCAAGTTTGGAATTCTTCATGATAATGTAACCTCTCTGACAATTCAATGTAATTGAGTGATTTCACTTCTTTCAGACTTGATGCTTACATGATGACAGATGTCATGCAAAATGAAAATACCTAATATTGTTGTTCCTCTGCCTTTCTATAAACTCACTATCCTATATATCTATTTGGTGGCAGATACTCACCAACAATACTTCTACTACGCCATTTTGATGTTTTCCGGAATTTGGCCTCCCATGAAGGTTTACCAAGTGACCAAATTGGACTTTCCTCTGAAGTTGCATCAGTCATCAGAAAGTTCACTGAACCAGTTGCTAATGATGAAGATGGTTATGCTGACGAGTCAAATGGTGATGATTTTGTAAGACCCAACTTGTTGGCAATATCTCTCAGTTGATTATATTTTCGGCATGCTTCTTTTACTCATATTGGTTTCTGTTCCCATGGTTTGTCACTATTTATGAAATGTTCAGTTTTTCTTTGCTATCCATCCAAAGTGTTTCCCCATGTATTTATTCTTTTCTCATGCTTTTTCATTTCTTAATTAACGAGGGATGCTTTTTGAATTTTGACAAATGCCAGATTGATCTTTTGCATCTAGTCACAAATTCAATTGAGGAATTGAAATCAAGAAGCTAAAAATTGATTTGAGAATTTTGCTTTCTATTTACTTTCAAGCACTTAAAACTGACAATCCTTTACACCGATCACTTATATGGTGTTGGTGCTGGCTGTAAAGGACAGTGGAAATGTCGGTAGGCACCAGGTGCTGTTAGTTGCTGCTGCTGACAGTTCTGAAGGCCTGCCACCAGCTATTAGGCGTTGTTTCAGCCATGAAGTAAAGATGGGTCCCTTGACCGAAGAACAGAGGGCTGAAATGTTGTCCCAGTCACTGCAAGGTGTTTCTGAACTCCTTTCTGATGTAAGTAAAGAAAGGATATTTCATCTCCTACGTACATTTGTAACTTTGGCTAAATTTATTTATGAATAAATTGAATCTAAGCAGGGAAAATTTTAATCTTACATCAATTTGTAATATTTACACCATAACTGAACCCAACATTCAAATTTTATATGAAGGCTGATAAGGTTGTCCCCTGGAATAATAAATTGCAACTTAAATATATAATTTGAGAATGATTTTATGAATGAATAAGACCTCCAGGTGTATTAGAAGCATTATTGAAATTTTTGTTTGATGTGGTTCATTGCAGACTTGCTTAGAGGATTTTGTGAAGGACATGGTAGGACAGACATCTGGATTCATGCCTCGGGATTTGTGTGCTTTAGTTGCTGATACTGGTGCTAACTTAATCTCCAAGAGCAATTTTCAAACTGACAAAGCAGAATTCTCACTATCAGGTGATTCAATTGAAGCGGTACAAGATACATCAAGTAATACTGTAGCTCATTCAAGGGGAAAAGAAAACTTGGAAAAAGCATTGGAGAGGTCAAAGAAGAGGAATGCATCTGCATTAGGGGCTCCTAAGGTAACTTGTTCAAATCATATTAAGAAAATATTATGTGATTGCCAGCTGAAGTAGAACTTTTTTCAAAATTTACACATTTCAGTATTTTTTTGGGCTTGGAGAAAAAGTTTTCTTTTTGATTTTTGATGTAGAACAGATAATTTTAGCCTTGATTTATTTTCTGCAGGTTCCTAATGTGAAATGGGAAGATGTTGGTGGGCTGGAGGATGTGAAGAAATCAATATTGGACACTGTTCAGGTTGGTGGTTGTTCTGTATCTCTGATTTCTTTACCAATAATAGGTTATGCTGATATAAAATATAGTTCCCTTATCATTTGCTAAATAATTTGGACCCCTTCATTCTTTTTAAAAGAAAAGAAAAGAAAAAAGCTTATGCATGTAGGTGTTCCTTTTTTTAGGTATAATCAGAAGCCTGCTATTCTGAACTCTTTTACTTGCTGTCATTTTTGTAACTCTGCAGTTACCTCTCCTGCATAAGGATTTATTTTCATCTGGCTTGCGTAAACGTTCTGGTGTTCTTCTATATGGTCCTCCAGGAACAGGGAAAGTACGTTATGATGGGTTACCAAATTTTCTCAGCCTTACAAATATATATTTTAAGATATCATCTGTAGCTTTCCTTTTCTTGTTCTTATTCTTTCTGCTTTAAATGCCAGACTTTATTGGCAAAAGCTGTGGCAACCGAGTGTTCCTTAAATTTCCTTAGCGTGAAAGGGCCAGAACTAATTAACATGTACATAGGAGAGTCGGAGAAGAATGTTCGAGACATTTTTCAGAAGGTAAATAAAAATAAACTTGTCTTATGTAATTCCTTTCGTTAGTAAATTGGGTTGCATACAGGCTTTCATTGTTATGTTATTTTAATCTTTGCAGGCCAGATCAGCCCGGCCATGTGTCATTTTCTTTGATGAACTCGATTCTCTTGCTCCTGCTCGAGGTGCTTCTGGAGATTCTGGGGGTGTTATGGATAGAGTGGTTTCTCAGGTTTCCAGTGACATTCTTGCTATGACATTGATTTTAAGCTGTTGATAAAGAGTAAACAACATAGTGGAGAAGAAAAGGAGCTCTTTTTATTATATATTGTGAATGGTGAAAATACATCTTTTTATAGGAAAAATTAGGAGTAAGTTTTCTATTAGAAGTAAACTACTTAGTAGTTATCCTTATCTATCTAACTTTCTAAGAGTTAGTGTTATATTAAAATACTAACTTATCTATTGCATAACCTACACTCCCCCTCAAGTTGGGAGTAAATGTTGAAAAGACCCAACTTGGATATAATCTCATCAAAGGTAATTCTTGGAAGTTCTTTGGTGAGAATATCTGCTAACTGATTCTTCGTTGAAACATAATTGAGCTTCACCGTTCCACCATTCACCTTTTCAGAGATGAAATGTCTGTCAATCTCCACATGCTTCGTTTGGTCATGATGAACTGGATTCTTTGCAATACTTATTGCAGATTTATTGTCACTTTGAAGTTCAAACCATTTGTTGGCACATAACCCCAGGTCAGTTAACATTCTTTGAAGCCAAATTTCTTCGCAAATTCCAAGTGTCATTGCTCTAAATTCTGCTTCTGCACTACTTCAAGACACCACCGCCTGTTTTTTGCTTCTCCAAGTAACCAGATTTCCCCAAACAAATGAACAATAACCAGTTGTAGATCTTCTATCCGTTAATTCACCTGCTCAGCTTGAATCCGAAAAAATTCTTACTGTTCTATCATCACTCTTTCTAAAAATTAATCCATGTCCTGGTGTCATTTTCAAGTATCTTAGAATTCTATTCACAGCCTCTAAATGTTCTTCTCTTGGATCATTCATATATTGACTCACTATACTGACAGGGAACGCAATATCAGGTCTAGTAAGTGATAAATAAATTAGTTTACCTACTAGCCTTTGATACTGTTCTTTGTTCACAGGACTTTCCAATTCTTCTCTCCTTAGCTTTAGATTTGCTTCCATGGGTGTTTCAGTCGGCTTACATCCCTTCATTCCAGTTTTGATAGTAGATCAAGGATATATTTCCTTTTGTTGATCACTATTCCTTCTTTTGACCTTGCAACCTCCATGCCTAAAAAATACCGTAAAGTTCCCAAGTCTTTGGTTTCGAACTCCTTCGCCAGTAGCTTTTTCAATCTTTCTATCTCCATACAATCATCACCTGTTAGAACGATATCATCCACATAGATAATCAAAATTGCCTTTTTGTTGTTTGAAGATTTTTTGACAAATAAAGTGTGATCTGATTGACATTGCTTGTAAACATCCTGAATAATCACCTTTGTAAATCTGTCAAACCAGGCTCTTGGAGATTGCTTAAGTCCATACAAGGACTTTAGTAATCTATATGCTTTTCCTGTATTACTCTTCACACCTGGTGGAATTCGCATATATACTTCCTCCAAGTTTCCGTTTAGAAATGTGTTTTTGATTTCTAACTGATGAAGCACCCAATTCTCATTAACTGCTAATGACAGTAACACTCTCACAGTGTTTAGTTTTGCTACCGGAGCAAACGTTTCATGATAATCAATTCCAAAAGATTGAGTGAATCCTTTCGCCACTAATCTCGCCTTATATCTTTCAATGCTACCATCAGCTTTGTATTTTACCGTGAATACCCATTTGCAGCCGACTGGTTTTTTATCTTTCGGAAGATCAACTATAATCTAAGTATTGTTGTTTTCCAGTGCTTTTAATTCCTCTTCTACTGCCTTTTTCCACTTGGGATCTTTCAATGCTTCTTCCACCGTATCTGGAACAATAATGCTATCTACACTTGCTGTAAAGTTCTTAAAACAAGGCGTTAGCTTTCCATATGCAACAAAACTCTCAATTGGATAATTTCTGCATTTTCTTACTCATTTCCTTTGAGCAAGCGACAAGTCATTATCATCAATTAAAACATTTAATTCAGTGGAAGAACTCTGATTACCTTCTTCATTCTCCAAAGGAATCTCGTTCGGTTCCGGATCATGACAGTGTCCATTCTGTGTGGGAGACTCGAGATTAGGTTCAGGGATTGATTTAGAAATTGGTTTTTGTCGTCTCTTGTAAATCTGCAACTCAGATTGAGGTATTTGAGGCGAAGTGATATGTTGATCATGCCGAGGTAAATGTGTTTCGGTGGACTGGTTTGGCAAGGATATGTTTTCTGGGTTCAATAGTGTTGTTTGGTCTGGCTGTAGCGATTTTGTAGGCTTATTCGACTGGTTTAACTGGTTTGACGGTGTTTGTTGATCAAAAAGAAATGGCTGCAAATCAAGTGACAATTGTTGTGAGTCAATAAACTGATATTCATTATATGACTCCCCCTGAATAGCAGTTTTAAGGAAAAAGGTGTTTTTTCAAAGAAAGTAACGTCCATAGTAATAAAGAATTTCTTTGTACGAGAATAATAACACCGAAAGCCCTTTTGAGTCGATGAATAACCCAGAAACACACACCGAAATGCTCGAGGATCTAATTTGGACCTGAAAGGAACATTGTTATGAACGAACACAGTACAACCAAAAACTCTAAGGGGTAACAATGAAGTCATCGATTTAAAATTGGGAAAAAATTGAAGAAGAACATCTCTCGGACACTTAAATTGTAACGGTTTACTAGGGAGACCGTTAATCAAATAAGTGGCAGTTAAAAGGGCTTCCCCCCAAAAATAGTTAGGAACATTTGTGGAAAAAAGTAGAGACCGAGTAAACTCAAGAATATGCCCGTTTTTTGGCTCAACAATCCCATTTTGTTGAGGAGAATTGACACACAAAGTAAGATGAATAATCTCGGTTTCCTGAAAGAAAGAACCCAAAACATTGGCAAAATACTCACTACCATTGTCAGAATGAAACATTTGGATTGAACACTGAAATTGGGTTTCAACCATCTTATGGAACCGTTTAAATATTTCACAAGCTTCAGATTTGGTTTTCATGAGAAAGGTCCAGGTAGTACGAGTGTGATCATCAATAAATGAAATAAACCACCGAAACCCATGTAAAGATGCGACCCGAGATGGTCCCCAAATATCACTATGGATCATGGTAAATGGTTTGGATGGTTTATATGAAGAAGGTAGATAAACACTCCTAGTTTGTTTAGCAAGTGGACAAATATCACAAGAAAAAGATTTTGGACTCTTATTGACAAACAAATGTGGAAACAATTTTGCAAGATAAAAGAAACTGGGATGTCCTAAACGAAAATGCAATAACATAACATCGGTTGAAGGTTCAAGTAAAGGAAATTGTTGTATAACATGGTAGGAAGAAGATGGGTGGGAAAATAAAGTTGCTGGAAGTAGGTAAAGACCCCCACAAAGCCTAGCACTGCCAATCATTTTCCCCGAGCTAGAATCCTGAAATTCACAAAAATCAGAGTTAAATTTCGTGATACAACATAAATCGGCAGACAACTTGCTAATGGAGATAAGATTGCAAGTAATATTGGGAACATAAAGAGCATGAGATAACAAAATGTCCTGATTTATTCGAATAGACCCATGACCGGCAACACCGGATAGAGAACTATCAGTTCGAATATGAGAGAGACGAGTCGGCATGAAAAGTGTGAAAGAGCCGAAGATCACCTGTCATATGATCACTTGCACACCAGAATCCACAACCCAAGTAAGAGTGGTGGATGTATTAGCCAAAGTAGCAGGAGGAATTCTACCTGCAGGTACTGATTGGGAATGAGTGTTTAACTGACTAAAAACCTGTTGCAACTCTTCCATTTGTTTTTTAGTAAACGAACTTCCTTGTAAATTAGTATTCACAGCACAGTTTTCTTGAGTATCACGTTGTTGATGTGTTTTGAAGACTTCCCATCAGTAGGCTTGTCATGTAATTTCCAACAGGAATCCCGCAGATGGCCAACCTTCTTACAATAGTCACACCAAGGTCTCCCATTCTTTGGCCGAGTAGTAGTTTGAGAGTGGTGGATATAATTGTCACCATTCAATCGGTGACAGGTGATAGAGGCTGAAGAAACATCAGAATGGGGTGAATTAATGAGGATTTTCGAAGTGACCTCCGATGAAGAAGTGGTGGAATTCATGATCGACGGCTAGATTTAGGGTAAAAAAAAGAAAAAAGAGAAATCGGCTAGATTTAGGTGAAGGATCGGTCACCTAGCTGATACCATGTTGATAAAGAGTAAACAACATAGTGGAGAAGAAAAGGAACTCTTTTTATTATATATTGTGAATGGTGAAAATACATCTTTTTATAGGAAAAGTTAGGAGTAAGTTTTCTATTAGAAGTAAACTACTTAGTAGTTATCCTTATCTATCTAACTTTCTAAGAGTTAGTGTTATATTAAAATACTAACTTATCTATTGCATAAGCTCTCTTCAGTTTCACTATTGTTAATCATGACAATTTTCTCTTATTGCTAGATGCTTGCAGAGATTGATGGCCTTAATGATTCCAGCCAGGTTATTTATGCTCTTGTTATGAAAATATGATATTACCTTTTCATTTTTGTCCAAATAGCAATGAGAGTTCTCTTTCAGACCTATTTATTATAGGAGCAAGCAACAGACCAGATCTTATTGACCCAGCTCTTCTAAGGCCTGGTAGATTCGACAAACTGCTATATGTTGGAGTTAATTCTGATGCATCTTACCGAGAACGGTTAGTTCATATCTCCGAATCTTTTCTTTCCTTCATGCTTTTGTATGCTATGGTGATTTTTTAATTCGATTCGTTTTCTTTATATGGCTGATTCCACTCTCGGTTCAGAGTTCTTAAAGCACTTACCAGAAAGTTTACGTTGCACGAAGATATATCCCTCTACTCGATTGCGAAGAGATGCCCACCAAACTTCACCGGTGCAGATATGTATGCCTTATGTGCAGATGCTTGGTTTCATGCTGCAAAGCGTAAGGTGAATAAAATTCGGCTTTTTCCACCCAAAAAAATCACTGTTAAGGTGTTGTATCATCGATGTCAAGACAATGCACCTTGAATTTTAGCTCATCATGTATTAGGTATTGCAAGCACAGCCAATAAAACTGTTCTCTTTGTTGCTTATACCGGTTCCTTTTTGTGTAGGTGTTGAGTTCAGACTCATCTTCCACTGATCAAGCTGATTCCATTGTTGTAGAATATGAAGATTTTATAAAGGTACAACACGATTCTTAGTAAGAGATCTTTGGGGGTAAAAACATGTACTAGAATTTGGATTTCATTACAGTTTCTGTGGTTATCTCGTATGAATGCCCCCCCCCCCTTTTTTTCTCCGGCTAAGCATCTAACATGCGAAATAATGGTTAATGTCCTGGATATGCAGGTGTTGGGAGAGCTTTCGCCATCCCTTTCCATAGCAGAGCTTAAGAAATATGAAATGCTTCGAGATCAGTTTGAAGGCTCTTCATCTTGAACGTCAGGTGAATTGTCAAATTACATATTTTTACAGAAACACAATAAAATATGCCCCAAAAAAGCCAATATATCATTTCTTTTATACCTCTGTCAATACTCTTGAGTGTAATAAATATCCAAATATAATGTCTTGTTCTTTCAGTATTTTTCAGTTTCCATGCTTCACATCTATATTTCAACTTTGCCCTTTTCAGTTCATTTTCCTTTCCCTTAATTTTGACATAGAAAAATTATTTTATGAACTCTTCCCTGCTTCAACAATGTCGGCTTTCTTAGAGAAATAATGTATGCAAGAAAAAAAATAAGAATAATGTAATCTGGGATTAAAAAAAAATTGCAATCTAGGTTGATTGCTATTCGCTCTCAACTATAACAATTTAGATTAGAGAAAATCACTTCAGTGACCAAAAATGCCTTATAATATACGATTTTAATCAACTTTTTTTGGATTTGTCAAAATGACCAAAAAAATCGTAATGCGAAATAAAATTCGCAACGCGATCTTCAGAATCGCAAATCAGTTCCCAGAATCGCAACGCGATTATGAAGAATCGCAACGCAATTATGAAGAATCGTAATGCGATAGTATAAATTCGCATTGCGATTTTCCAGAATCGCAACCGTATCCGTAAATCGCAACGAGAATACGTAAATCGCAACGTGTATCTGTAAATCGCAACGAGAATACGTAAATCGAAATGCGTATCCGTAAATCGCAATACGTATCCGTAAATCGCAACGCGATTTTTAAAGCGCCATTAGAATCGTTACGCATATTTTATTTTCAAATTTCAAACACGAATATTAATTATCGGAACACTGAACCGTCCACAATATATTTTGTAATCGCAACTCATAACCTAAAACCTAAAATCACAACTCAGTCTCATCTTCATCTCTCACTCTCTACGGCGAAATCCGTCCCCATCTCCGAAGATTTCCGTCCCCATCTCTGGCGAAATCCCTCACAACCATTCACGGTCAGAAATCCCCCAATCATTCAGAAATGGAAAATCAACCTCCGAGGGTTAGTTTTTTTAATTTTTTATTTGAAAATTTTGTATTATTTTAGGTTTTTCATATTGAAATTGATGATAAGTTTACTGGTAATTCAATAATAGATAATTATTCACTTAGATTTCTTATTAAATTCATTCGATTGCTGCCAATACTGCTAAACTGTTTAGTCTTTAACCCTGTGAAGTTAGTATTTGTATTTGTTTTGTCTTTTGGTTGAAGTAATGCAATCTATTAAAGTTTCAATTTGCAGAAGAAGAATAGTTTCTAAACTTAAAATCGCAACATGAAAATGAAAATCGCAACAAAAATGACTATCGCAACGAGAGAATCGCAACGCGAAACCAAAATCGCATTGCGATTTTCATTTCGCGTTGCGATTCTCTCGTTGCGATAGTCATTTCCGCATTGCGATAGTCATTCTCTCGTTGCGATTTTCATTTTAACCAAAAGATAAAACAGTGTTGCAAATTTTAGTTTCAAGAATAAACTACTACTCTTTATGTTTATTGTTTTTTGGTATATCTTTATAGTGTAGCTTTTGGTATATCTAACTTGGTATGTTTATTGTTTTTGTAGAAATTTTTTTCGGCTTCATTGACATTAAGGAATAAAGTTAGCCTAGCCACTACAATTGCTTCGAACTTTCACCTGCACAAAGAAAATTGTTTGAGGAAACCTGCTTCGGGCCATGGCTGAGAGTACAGCATCCGGGTGGAGATGCTAATTTGACCCATTTGTGGCTTCAGACCATGACTAGCGATCTATCCGACATTATACAACGTGGTGAGGAAGAGATATGGTTTCATTTTCCACCGGCGTATACTTGTTTTGGGCGGAAGGAGTTCTGCTAATCACTGGTCTACGATTCAGACACGATGATGTAGGCCGGTACACTCGTCATATCACCCGCCCATCATGGTTATCCCGGGTTTTTCCTGATGAGTCAATAGAGAAGCCGAACTTACATGTCGACGACCTGAAGAATTGTTTAATAAGAAAGATGATTTAACTCGGATGAATGACGTCGATGTTGTCCGAGTATGCCTTCTAGTACTTTTGTATGCCGACTTTTTAGGCAGAGAGGCCAGACAACCTATTCCTCAGGAGCTAATATTATTGGTAGAGGACCTAAATGCATGGAATCTGTTTCCGTGGGGTTCGTATATATGGAAAGCTACTTGGACTAAGTTGTCGTCTGCCTTTGATGACCGCAAAAGTTTGCGTGGCAATGGGTCGAAATACACTTTGTCAGGCTTTGTTTGGGCCTTTAAGGTAAGAATTTCTATATAATGTTTTCAAAATTATAATTAATTATTTAACAATTACTAATGTTTGTTATATTGTTTGTAGATTTGGATTCGAGGCTTTCCCCAGCATGCAGACATATGCATTAAAAACTTCAAATGATATTCCTAGGGCTATTTCCTGGAAGAGGAAACATATGTTGGATTGGGAAGACTTAATACCATATGCGACAATAAATAATGTAAGTTAACACAAATACTATCATATATAAACAAGTTATTAATAGTAGACGTTTAACTTTGTTTGAGTTTTTATATTTTTAGGAGACCAACACTTCATTACAGAGACTGACACCCACGGAGGATGAGCTTGCCACTGATTGGTGGCAAGCTAGTCAGCGTTTTTTTGATGGCACGAATGATGAGCAGCCTCCACTTCCTCTACTTCGAGAGCCATCACCTCACCCAGAGCCATCACCTGATCGACCCGACTATACACCTCTACAACGAGAGCCATCACTTATCCCGTCACATCATCGAGCCTCTTCTCCACCATCACCTCATGATAGGCGACCGGCAAAGATGCCACGACTTCTATCTCCCTGTTCTCCACCTCCACCTCCACGGGATGAGTCAAGGGAGTTACGTGATGAGGTCAATGTCTTGCGTGAGGAGATCGGTACTCTACGCGATAACGATGGTGCATGGCGTGTGGATGTGTCTACTTTACGTGGTGAGGTTGCCGCTCTACGTGAGATGGTAGTATCGTTGTAGAATGAGGTTCATACTCTACGTAACGAGGTAAGTTTAAGATTTTCCATATTTAACTTGATGATAAATTTACTCGTAATTTCACTTAGATTAACCATTCCACTTAGATTGCTTAGTAAATTTATTCGGTTGTTGCCAATACTGCTAAACTGTTTATTCTTTAACACTGTGAAGTTAGTATTTGTCTTTTGTTTTGTCTTTTGGTTGAAGTAAATTTATTCGGTTGCTGTCAATTCTGCTAAACTGTGTATTATTTAACACTATGAAGTTAGTATTTGTCTTTGTTTTGTCTTTTGGTTGAAAGTAAATTTGTTCGGTTGCTGCCAATTATTGTAAATTAATTTACTAAACAAACGAGCTGTGAAACTAAAACCTGTTGCCGGATGGGGAAGGATGTCGTTGGATATAGGAACGGATGTCGCCGGAGAGAGTGATAGATGGAGATGAAATGAGTTGCGATTTAGGGATTTAGGTTATGAGTTGCTGCTGCTGCGTAGTTATATACCCAAAACATTTGTGTTGCGAAATTAAAACCTATTGCGAATTCAGAAATCGAGTTGCGAATTTGAAATTCAGTATTGCGATAGTCAGAATCTCGTTGAGATTTACAGATTCGCATTGCGATTTACAGATTCGCGTTGCGATTTACGTATTCGCATTTCGAATTAGGAAAATCGCAACGCGAATTTGGGAAATCGCAATGCGATAGTCAGAATCGCGTTGCGAATCTGGAAACTGATTTGCGATACCGGAGATCGCGTTGCGAATTATCGATCGCGTTGCGATTTTACGTATTGTCGTTGCGATTTACGGATACACATTTCGATTTACGTATTCTCGTTGCGATTTACAGATACGCGTTGCGATTTACGTATTCTCGTTGCGATTTACGGATACGCGTTGCGATTTTACGTATTGTCGTTGCGATTTACGGATACGCGTTACGATTTTACGGATACTCGTTGCGATAGTCAGAATCGCGTTACGATTTATATGTTCGCGTTGCGATTTTCATATTCGCGTTGTGATTATGGAAAATCGCAATGCGAATTTGTACTATCTCATTGCGATTCTTCATAATCGCATTGCGATTCTTCATAATCACGTTGCGATTCTGGGAACTGATTTGCGATTCTGGAGATCGCGTTGCGATTTTTATTTCGTATTGCGATTTTGTTGGTCATTTTGGCAAATCCAAAAAAAATTAGTTAAAATCGTATATTATAAGACATTTTTTGTTACTGAAGAAATTTTCTCTTTAGATTATAATTTTTTTCTCGACGGCTGTATTCCCCTTATTTTTAGCTAAAAAACCCCCCGGAATGTCTCATCCGAATAAATTATTATAATTTTGTTAGAAAATCTATAAATAAATAAATAAAAAACCAGGAAACCGAGACTCTTGATCGTCAAATTGGCAGCTAAGTTGACATTTTGTTAAGCAGTCAAATAAGGACAGCTTTCATCAAGTCATTAACTGCAGTTTCCGGTTGCTTTCTATCCCACAACACTGTATTTCTACGCTGTTTCTGTTTTAGCTGCGCCTAAGCCAATTAAATAGGAGTACTTCTTTTGTTACACAGTTGAACTCATCTTAAGACACTTGTATTATTTTGTAACAAATTGACAACAATCATATGCTTTCTATAAAGCATTTTGCCTGCAATTATTCAATCAGTAGTACATGTTAATTGTCCATTCATTAGAAGTACGAACAATAATTATCATGGATATTAATACATTTAATATCCATCAAGTATTAATTTGTTTGGTATTATTTTTATTATAACATTTAAGAGATATGAATTATAGAACTTATTAAGAGATCTCGGTAATTAAAACGAAATATTGTTCTTCCTTAAGATATTAAGTTTGAACAATTACTTTAAGAAGAAGAAGAAGAAGAAGAAGAAGAAGAAGAAGAAGAAGAAGAAGAAGAAGAAGAAGAAGAAGAAGAAGAAGAAGAAGAAGAAGAAGAAGCGCTCCTAGAGTATTGTGTGCGATCAATTCACTTGTTTTCTATTATGAACCATAGGTGTTCTCGTGTCATTTTTTTTATCATGTAACACGGTATTTATTTTAAAGGTTTTTAATTATTTAATAATAAATATTTATATATTTTTATAGATATCATATTAGAATTTAAAATTAAAGATAATAATAATTTTTTAATAATTGAGATCCACTTTTAAATGATAATAAATATTTTTTTTATAAAATTAGATAAAATTATAAAAAAAATGATAAAAT